ATTAGATCATTAGGCAGAGAGCTACTTTGTGTAACAATGAATTTAATGTGTACTTACCATAAAAGCTATTTCCTGTTGTTCTGTAAAGTCAATTATCTATTTACAAAATACCAAATTTCATGCCTGTGTGATTTCTTATTTCATAGTGCAGCATGAAAAAAAAGGACATGTCAAACATAGAAATTAGTGTCTGGCCAAATACAGCATATACTTTACACTCTTAGATTCTTTCCTAAGGTGGTCTGGAGTGCACCTTTTATTTATCTCACAGATATTTATTTGCCAGAGTCCCTCATTCTTCTTTGACAGACTCATGCCTTCAGATATTTTACATGATATTAGTTTCTCAGTGTTTTTGTTTTATCGTATATGTAATATTTAGTTATTCTGTGTTCCAAGTGTAACAAAGATGGATTTCCCAACTCTTTTTCATGTTTGTTTGGTTTTGTGTTGGTTGTTTTTTTTGTGTTTTTTTTGTTTGTTTGTTTGTTTTTTCCCCTGGTGTCCCTTATTACTCTTGTTCCAGGGTTATGATATTTTGTAAGACATTCCTGGAATTTCATCTAGGTCTTGAAATTAGTCATTTAAGGGGAATCCTGAAGCTTCTGGCCAGCAATTGAATTAATTCAGCCCACGAAGGATGCATTTGAGCCTGTATTGGAATAAATGTGTGTGCATTACTTAAGAGATTGCTCTTAATGGGATATGCCAGAGGTTATAGTGTTTCCCAAATTGTGGGCATGGCATTCCCTGTATGCCAATTGATTTTATGGACAGGAAGGAGAATTGCAAATTCTCTGAAGTTGCAGCTGCAGTAAACAGAAATCTCTGCAAATAATTTTCATTGCAAGTGTATCCATTGCAAATGCTTGAACTAGCAAAGAGTATGACATTTTATTGCTGAGCAGTGAAGTTCCTTCATGACAAATTTATAAGAAATATAATTTATGAGCTGTAAACATCAGAGTTAATAACTGTTACAGTGCTTCAGATCTGTGTTATAAAGAAATATTGCCCTATGCAAATCTGTGTACATATGTCTACATGCTCTACGCTTTATATGTTTATAGAGCCAGGTGGGGATGCAAAAACAAAGGTCTAAAGTGATGAGATAATAATGGGTTTGAATTTTTTGAGAAGGTTGCAAGTGTTCACAAGCTCTTTTGGTACTTAATGGTCCATTTGTTGAATACTTGCTCCATTCTTTTGGTCCACATTTGACAGGTTTTAACTTCAGTGTGAAAAGTATTAAAGCTCTCATTCATCTGTAAGTCTTTATGATTTTCTTTTGAGAAAATCTGTCTGTCATGCAATCAGTTGTTCAGGTTTAGAACAGTTAAACAGTTCCTCCTGATTAATGAAACTTTCTGATTTTTAGTTTTAAAGATACTTTGAAAGGTTTTTTTCATTCCATGTGGTAGGGAGGCAAAACTAAAAGCTGATTTCTGTTAATAAAAGCTTTTTACTTTTATTATGATTGCTGTTTATTTTTATTATGCCCAAAAGAGACATCCTCTGTTCCTGTAGGGTAAATATCTTAAGAAAACTAAAAGATCTACCAGACCTGTGCTCCCTCAGACAGGATTTCCACTCCCTGTTCTCCAGAGTTTGAGGTTTTGCTTTCAGGAGAATATTTGGATGTCTGTGTTCATACCTCTTTGTTATTATGTGCACAGCTGAGTTTTCTCAGCTGTGTTTTGTGGGATTTTCTCTGTGAATGGTGATTTGAATATGGTGGTTCTAATGGAGGATCACTGGCATAATTGTGTTTGTCTCAGACTCACTTGTGGTCAGTGCTGGCTAATGGGCACTGAACCATAACCAGAAGGTGCAATAAACTCTGTAATTAACAGCTGTGATCTGTCTCTGTGAGACTCGACCTAAATTAAAACACTCAAAAAGATATTTATATTAAATTCAATAGGGTTTTTCATCAGTGGATGACATGATCTAGTTGTGGATGGTATGACTTTGTTTTGCAGCATCCATTCCTTGAAAACATGAACTGTTTTTCTCAGGCTCGGGTAATTTTCCTTTCAAATGTTATGATTGAAGTTACTGGAAGTTTTTAGCCTGTAAGTAAAATGAGTTTTATTTTTCCATTGACCTTTTGATAAATTTGTGTGTTTTCTCTCTGTGAAACACTTTTTTACTCAAACTCAGTTGTCTCACTTGTATCAGTGATTCTGTGGTCAGTGAGCTGTTGAGGGAAAGTATCAATCAGACTGGAAAAGGAGGTAAATTGTGCTGGATTTGTGAGGAACTGACATAACTGTCTCTGCTTTCTGCCTCCTCCCGACTCTTTCAGAAACTGCCTTCTTAATAGGAGAAAGGAGATTTTCCATGGGAGCACAAGAAAAGTTACCTGTCTAATTGTGTTGCTGTTAGCTGCAAGTCCTAAAGTGCTGCAGATGAAGATCTTGTTCTCTGTGCTCTCTCTTTTCAAGTTGTAGATATCAGAGTGTGCAAAGAAGGATCTGTTGGGGTTTGTCTTTACTCCCTGAGCCCCACTTTTCACAGGAACAGATGAATGCAGAATAAATACATGCAGGAAGAGAGGTTTTTTTTGCATTTCATGGTATTAGGTGGTGCAGCATTATAAATGTGGATGCTTCTGACCATGGTAGTTACAGTGCCATTATAGTGATGCTTCAGTGATCTTTAAAATTCTACTCTCTTAATTGAACTGATCTCAAGAACGTTCTCTTGCTTTCTGGAGAAATAAATTACACTGCAACTTAAAATATTTTGTTATTGCTTACCCCACAGAACACTTGGGGTTTTATTTCTTTGAAAGCCACTTTCAGTTGTTTCCTTCCCTGATGGTACCTACTGAGCAAAGTGTTTGATCCCTGTTTGTCTGTTTGGCTGCATTAGGGCAGCCTGGTTTTTAAGGACAGTGTAGTTCCTTCATGAGAATTCTTCCAGCAAAACCCAGAGTAACTCCCTTATCATCAGGAAAGATTTACATCCTACTCAATAAAGAAGAAAAAAAATTTAGAGAGTAATGGATTCTGTTGATGTAACTAAGAAAAGTAACTGTACTTACCATGAGGGCTTGCCACTAATGTATGTGTGTTACTGTCCAATACCTGTTGCTAGCAGGCCTTATAAAGTTATTTAAATAAATACAAAAAATTTCAGATCTAAGGATAAATTATGTCGGGTTTATTTTGCTTAAACAAGGCTTGCATTTTTTAATGGAAGTTATATCATAGTGTGATACTGAATGTATTCTGGGCTCTGATCATGTATAGAGATAGTATATTTGACTTTCAGATTTTGTCTGCAAAAGGTATGATGAACATACACCATAGCCTGGGAACAATAAAAAATAGAAATTCAGGAATGAAATACAGTAATATATAACTCTAATTTCTAACCAAAAGCTTTTACTACAAGGTAAATTTGGTGCCAATATTTAATGTATACCTAAAAATTCAGCTGGTAAAACCTCAAAATGATATTTGAAAACGCAAACTTTTAGCTTTCTTACATTTTACACGTATATTTCCAATTAAACAAAAATCTCTTTTTGCTTTTAATAAGTGTAACTATAATTTCAGCAGAAAGAAAATCATGGATAATTCTTTTGGTGATTATTCCTCAAAAGTATCACCCAAGCACTTTTCCCTTTTGTACAGTGTTTCCAGTGAGATCACAAAATTTCACTTACTGTTGTCAGAAATGCAAGCAAGCTCCTCCTTCCATCCCTCCCCCAGGCATCCCAAGACAGAAAAAAACTTTCTGCATGAGAGATGGCCAGGGATCAAGGATGCTCTTGGGAATGGAACAGTGAAGGTGAGAAAACAAAGATTTTTCTGTCTTTTTGGAGATAAAAGTCAACATCAGCTTCATAAAGCAGTGTGAAGGTTTTTTATTTTGAAGGGGATGTTGTAACTATTTTGGTTTTGCCAAATATTTTTATACTATGATAAATATCAAGTGCCTGTTTTCTTATTTTAGATAATACAGTATATTTGATCAAAATAATCAGGGTTGTATGTATACAAGTCTCTCTCTATATAAAGATATGTACACATAGGGGTTTTTTAAGTCTTAGATGTGGGGTTTTTTGAGATACAGGGAGCATCTACATAACAAAATGTGCCTTTAATGTAGTCTATTGCTGTAAATGTATAGCTCTTGCTATAACATCCATGAGCCCAGAAAACATTTTACTAAACACCGATATATTTCTCATATTAATTACTGACTGCTTTTTGTCTTGTTTTATTATATCAGATTATGCTTGGCATTCCTCAAGTTGGCTGTAATACTAATCCCTCAAATACTAATTCCTCAAATGGACTGTAATACTCTAATCTTAGTTATACTCATCTTGACATAGTGAATTTTCTTTACCTACACAAGTCTGGAAGGCCTTTTTTCCAAAAATGCTGGTGGTTTTTTTTTTTTTTTTCAGGATGTTTAAGAACACAGTCCAGCCTGTTGCATACATTTCTGATTTTAGAAGTAATGAGAGATTATAACATATTTTATTATATTGTATATTATTTTTTTGAAGTTGCAGATAACTTTGTATATTACATCTGTTAAAAAACCAAACCAAACCACACCTCTCCAAAAGAAACCCCTCAAAACAACTAAGTGGTAGATATTTATCCAAACAATCCAAACACAAAGTTTTTCTTGAGTTGGGGGAGCAAGTGGGAAGTAGAGAGTGAGAGACAAAGTGCTAGTTTGCAGAAATGGTCATGCATGTATAAAACAGCAGTAGTCCTCTAACATGTTCAAGTTTAATTTTATAAAGGACTAAAATCTCTTAGATCTGCTTATAATTATTGAGACTGAGAGAAAGGTTAAAAATTGTGATCAGAGAGCAGAAGTATTTACTCTTTGTGGAAACTGAGTAGGGGATAGCGGTAGCTTTTGGCAAGGTGTTGTACAGCACAGAAGAGAGAGAATTCCTGTCCAGTTCCCGAAGGTGTTGCTCTGAGCTGCTTTCTCTTTTTTTTTTTTTTTATTCTAGGTGAAGAGACAAACACATCTTTATTCCCTTGTGGAAGAATCTACTAAAAGCATCCTAAAACCAAACGAAGCAGTTGGTTTGCTCTTTATTCTTTTCAGATCCAGTTGCTCACAGTAAATACTGGGTGGGTGGCTCTTGACAAGGGAATGGATAGAAATAGTTTGGGACTCAGAAGTGGTTATAATGTGTGCTAAAACTAGATTGAAACACAAATAAGGACATTTTTATGTTTATGTTTGTACTAGTTTTCCTATCTTGAAAAACTCCTCAAAATGCCCCTTACTGACTTTTGATTGTGTTTTCCTGTGCAGTTCTATGAGTTGAAATTTCACTGTTATGGACTGCTGGAGATCTAATGGTCAATAGTTTGATTGCTGTTACCTTGCCAAACTTTAAAGGAACTCTACGTGCTTTTAAGGAGCTGAAAGGAGTTCAGAAATTTGCATAAATGACACCAAATGAAGTAGTTGTGTATAAGGCTTGAATTTGTATTTTGTTTCTCAATCCAATAGTCTAAATCTGTTATCATCTCTAGTGATAAGTCATTACCTCAGGAAGCATCTTGTAAATTGTGTCTCTGAAACATTGTATTAATAGATATGGTTTTTGGCATTACTTTGCTCTTCTAGAAAGTTGTCCTAAAGCCCAGCTTTTATCTTAGCAAATTTTAATAGCAAATTGTACTTAAGTAGTGCCCCATGTCTGCTTCATTTAATGACTGGCTTTTTCACCCCTTTCTATTGCTTTGCACAGCATTTGTTCAGCAAATTTCATCAGTCTCTGTGGAATTCCTTGAGTTTTGTCTTGAAAAGCCTCTGTGTCATTTTTGCAGTCCCCAAAGTCAGCCTTAAGCCAGTTAGACAAACCTCAAAGCAGGGCTAGCTCTGTACACTGAGTTCACTGCCTCTCAAGAGGAGAGAAATAAGTAATTGCCACTTTCATTTAAAGAATAAGTTGAATTTGAAGATGTGTTTTTGTATCCCTGACCCTGCTGACAGTGGTACTTTAGTACCTGAAGGTCCCCTCAGCACATTTGTATCTGTTACTGATGGACCACTGTCTGCTACGGGACCAGAGCTATCAAGAACTGTTGTAGCATTTTCAATTCTTAATTGAATTTAAATGGGAATTTCTTTCCTGTCCTGTACTGGAAATCGCAAATCTGGGCTCTGGCATTGTATCTGCCTCAGAAGCATCCTTAGGTAGTGTGTTGTTACATTTTCCTTGTGTGTAATTACACACCCAAGTTTGTTCTCCCAGGTTCTAGAAGAAATCGTGTTCAGTTGTCCTTCAACTGCTTCTGGGAACGCTGGTTTTGTGTCTTCCCTCCCAGAATCAGTAACTGGGAAGACTCTTCTGTCTAATGCAAAGACTGAAATTCTTTCTAAGGGTAACACTTTACCTCAGTGTCTTGACTAAAAAATTCAGCTGCTTCAGCAGCCGATGACGAGGTGGCTGAGTTCAGCTGAGCTTCAGGAATTCTCAGTTGTTACTCTGTCTTTTTGAAATGATTTAGTCATCTGTATCACAAGGACTTTTTTCAGTCACATATTCTTAGCTTCCTCTTTCCTAACCCAAATCACAGCCTGTAAATACTTGGCAGTTGATGAAAAGCCAAAAAACCTGTTGTTCTCAATGAGCACCAGAATGTGGTTGGTACAGGTCTATTGAAGAAATCCTTTCACTTTGTCCATGAATGTTTGTCCACTTGTGACTTCTGGTCACTGTTGCAGAAGGGAATGTGTAAGGTTTTTTGCTCTTGATCACTGCTTTTTTGGTTAGAAATTCTGCTCCCAAATCCTTAATCCTAAAACAATGTTAGTATTTGCTAAAACAGTTTTCTTTGCTTGATTTATTACAGTCAATGTAGTTCCCTAAAAGCTCAGTTTCTCCGATGTCCTTAAAATTGCTTTGAAGATCAAATTGATCTTAGAATTATTGAAAGTGAAAAAAACAACAAACAACAACAACAAAAAAGAGCATCTTGAATTTCACTTCATCTTTTGAGCTTTCAACTGGAAATGGATCTGTCTGGTTTGGCAGAGTACCAGTTCTTTGGTTCCATTTTGTTACCATGGCAAATTCTAATCTCTGATTTGTGGTTTCTGATCAGATCTTGCGTGTAAGGTCCCAGAGGAGGAAAAGAAAAACCACCCAAATCCCATAAACCCAAACTAAATCATTGCACAATCATTGTTGCTTGCATATTCTTTTTAAAGGAATATATCAGCATCTGAAGAAGAGCACTGTAGTTACAAGAGGGTATTGATTCTCTTACATGGTCCACATGTGAACTCACAAAACAGAAGCAGCACAGCTGGACCTCAGCAATCAAAAATGCAATATTTTAAAGACTCTGTGGTGACCAAAGTGTTTATTAATTTGGAGTAATCAGTCACAAAGGACAAGTCATCCTGCCCTGTGGTGAGTACATTTTTTTTTTTTTTCAGCTTTTGTGGATGAGAACTGCAGTCGTGTAAATTGCTGTCATCTACAATAGTGTGATAAATTCAGGAATTAGTAACTGAAGAGTTACAGTGATTTGCCACTGTAAAGTTCCCCTTGAATGTTCTCAAAATGCAACTGCAGAAAGCCTTGAGCCAAATTCAGTGTTGGCCTTGCTTTGTAGAGGGGAAGAATCTGATGAGCCTCAGGGACCTTTCCAATTACTCCATTCTGTGATCACATGTAAGCAACAGGGGTGGGAGATGTGGAACTAAATTCTGTTTTCAGGAAGGACAGAGGGACAGCAACTGAGGTGCAAGGCTGCTGATACTTTAAGCATCTACAGAGAGAAACAACTTGATGGCTGTCAGAGTTCTGACAGAGATGTGATTTTTTCGCTTCCTAGCTGGAAAGGAAAAAAATATCACTTCTGTAACCTAATTACACAGGGTAGATACAGAATCAGGTGTTGATCTTTGTTGGGTTTGTTTTGCATTACTCTTTCCTCTAAATGAATGAGCTTCTAGTTGGTTTTGCCTTATATCCTGGGTCCATCAAACAGAGCAAACACAGGGGTGGCCTCACATGGAGCACTGGGTGCAGTTCTGGGCCCCACGATTTAGGAAGGATGTGAAGGTTCTTAGGAAGGATGTGAAGGTTCTTTACCAAGAGGGTGACTGAACCCTTGAACAGGTTTCCTAGAGGGCTGATCAATACCCGAAACCTGTCAGTGCTCAAGAGACACTTGGACAGTGAGTGCCCTTACTAACAGGCTTTCACAGCCTGTCACATGAAAGGCTGGGGGGAATTCATCCAGACCTTAGAGAGGGAGGATTTTCTCAACCCACATGGATTTATTCGTCTGTTAGTGACCCAGAGGAAATGAAAGCAGTCTGTCAGGTATCCTGCAAGAGGGCTCTTCACTAAACAGATTCACAAGACCAGAGGGCGTTTCAAATGCCTTTATCAGGGAAGGCCCCTCAGCGGGCCTTCTGGTGTGTTGTTCTGCTGCTGGCAAACTGTCAGCACTTACAGAGGACTCACCCTAACAGTTTACAGAATAACACTCCTTTTAATACAAATCGTGGCAGGTTAATAAGAGTCATAGGTCGCTGGTGACAGTGTCTGCCTGCAAAAACATATTAAAACCAATCTAACGGTACTATAAAGCAAGCACAAACAAAAGTCTAATATGAAACAATCTACCAATATATTAGGGAGCATATTATCCAGCAGTATTGGTGGAAATCATCCTCCAGCCTTCCTCCATTTCCAACTTTGTTTCATACTATTTCTTTAGGTTTAGGTGGCATTTGAGTGATTCTAGTCAAAAATACTTAATTGGGTTGTCGTCCTTGGCATCTGTCTTCCTTGGTGGGCAGGTACAACATGCTCTTTGAACTACAAAGTGTCACCACGTTCAGATTCCTGCAGGATGTTTATGGAGGGAGGCTGTAGTGCCTTCATGACACACCCTTCTCCATTGCACCCCCCATAACAGGTGTTAATCACTGTTTTTGGGGAACTATTGTGGGGCATCGTGACCATGCTCCACGTGGGAAGCAGCAGCTGGGCCTCCTCTGTAATTCTTATTTTCCTTTAACTTTTACCCCTACCCATTACTCTACAGCCCTGAATTGCTCAGGCAGTTGCACTGGATGGTTGTTGTCGATCCCTTCCAATTGAAATAGGCTATTCCTGTTCTACTCTATTCTATTCTATTTTGATGTGGCATTTCAGAGAAGTCAGAAATCATTTATCTAATAGATGGTAGTTTAAAGTTGAGTATTATTTCTGTTATTTTCTAATTGTTAACAATTTTTACTTCAATTGCCCCTAGCACTGGAAACAAACATTCAGAAGGAAAAATGGATCACTGGTCTTGGTCAGAAACTAACAGCTTTCGACTTTTCACCCCTGAGTCCTTGGCAGCAATTGAGCAAAGAATTGCTGAGAAAAAAAAGCAGCCAGAGAAAGAAAAAGAGAAGAATAAGGACCAAGGAGTTGAAGAAGAACAACTTACTCCCCAGCTTGATCTGAAAATCTTCAAAAAACTGCCATCTCTTTATGGGGACATTCCACCAGAGCTCATTGGGGAACCCCTGGAGGATTTGGATCCATACTACAGTGATCACAAGGTTAAAACTTCCCAAAGCATTTCTTTGATTTAACTTTGTCTGCTGAACTCTTAGGAAGTAGTAGAAGCTCTAGTTGGGAGATGCTGTGTTTTGATGGTTCTCTAGACAGGGCTTTCAATGTTACTGACATCTTTTGGGCCAGGAGTGCTAAGGTGTGCTCTGCTTTATGCCATGAAGATGCATCTTCAGTTCCAGTCAGCAGTCAGATTAAATTATGAGAACGTACTACACATGATTGATACACTTCTACAGGAAATATATTCAGGGATAAGGGATACTTTGTTTTCCAGAGCAATTCCTATGATGCCTGTGAGGCTGAACTGCCTGTGGTATAAACAGTGCCTGTCCCAGAGTAGATCATGCTGGAATTGCAGATGCTTTCTCTGAATTCCAAAGATTATACCAATTAGGGGAGGCATATTGGAGATATTTCCAGCACTCTGTGTTATAAATCTATGTATTTGCATTGTTGTAAATTAATTTTCTGTTAGTTTATGCCTCATTGGCTTTGTTTGTTGTACCACATTTATATTGCATATCCCCCATGCGATTGCAAAGGAGGTGGTGGTGTTGCCTGTTGGAGTGTTTAAAGTAGGTGATAGGAATCCCTCCACAACTAAATGGAAAAAAATTTTATTCATTTAAATATTTTATATCCAATGAATCTTTTCTTTTTAGACTTTTATAGTGCTAAATAAAAGGAGGACTATTTTCCGGTTAACGGCTACACCCGCCTTGTGTATATTTGGTCCTTTTAATCCAGTCAGAAAAGCAGCAATTAAAATTCTGACCAATTCATATCCTTTCATTGGTTTCCCTTTTTAGGGTTTTCAAATAATCTGTACCATTTTCTGTCATTCTGTTCCTCTGATAATATTATTGGGAATGCAAGCTTAAATGGCTGTGATAAAGATTTTTAAAAGTTATACTGAATCTTATGTTACAGCAACTGAGATATTTTCATGATGTTGGTGAAAACGTGAAAAAGCTGATATTTAAAATCAATTTTGCAGATATTGGTATGAAAGAACCTTTAGAGGTTATTGTATGATGTTGTAGCCCTTTTCCATAACTTGTTTTAAATCTCTGGTGTGGTCACAAGGTTAAATTAACAACATACAAACAAACAAAGCAAACTGGGGACTCCCTAGTTATGAAAATATGAAAGATGGGATTTATGCTGAACCTTTTCTGGAAGAGTCTCATGTTATCCTAAGAAATGCATTCCACACTCAAGTTTAAAATGTTCTGAAGAGTGTCCATCTTTCATATTTTTGAAACAATATAACTGTAGTTCGGGGAATGTCAGAATGTGAAGGATTTGCAGGTGCAAAACCATCAACTGAGTAGTTTCAGGTTTTTCTGTCAAACATCTGTTTTCATTTGGAACTATTAATTTGTAGAAATAGGTCCTTTTAGTGGAACTTCTGACTTTGAATGTGTATTCCTGCTATTGGAAATTACTAAATTTACTCTTCACTTTCAATTAAACCCTGAATTTAAAACACTGTTTTTTAAACAAAAAAA